TCATGACCGCTAGTCATACTAGGTCGATGGTGAAACATCGCGCTAGATATTTAGCTGGCGTGGAGAGATTCTACGCTACTAGATAAATGCTAGACGAATCTTCCACGCGTTCCGTTTTTGGATCGTGGAATGAGTAGGATTGCTACCGCAACCTACTCTATCACACTTTACAGTCTCCCGCGGGAGTTCAGATCTACGATCCTTTGATTGTGGATCTCTCTCATTGATTAGTTTTCATAGCTTTCTAATCCTCTCATAACTTTCATTCTCTCAAACTCAAAACACTCGAAAGATTTTTACACTAGCTTTTAGCGTAGTGCATGAGTCTTCTGCTCTCTCTGATGGTTTCCATCGTCAGCTCATTCAAATGTCCTCTTCCTCTTGTTACTGTATTCTTAATACAGAGAACGTGGTGTGATCTTTTTGGGATTCTGAGCCGCCTTACAGATGACACACTTCTTGAGTGGATCAAAGACTTCTGCTACCTCTCCTCCCAGTGTTGTTTGGGGTCCTTCTTCTCTGGCTCTCTTGGATCTGTTGTTGTTGTTGTTGTTGTTGTTGGAGGCGAGTTGATATGCTCTCTTCTGCTGGGAATTCCTATTCTGACTTTGGCAGCCCATCCCTTCATTTTGTGTTGTTGTTGCTGCTGCTGTTGGTGGCTCCATGATGCTCTCTTCTGCTGTTTAATGACTTTCGAGTGGCTGTTGAGTGGCTGTCGAGTGTCATTGTGGCTGTCGAGTGTCATTGTCGATCGATCGCGACAGAGGAATCCTTCTTTCTGTTTTCGCGAAACAAGAAAATACCTCATTGATAGCTCACTTGCCCTGTAAATATTTATAATTGGTACGTTAAGTATATTTGAATCTTCATGACGTATTTGCTGATGTCATAGGTTGATTAGCCAATCACATTACTGCCTTCTACCGCTTTTCGCCCTCCATTAACTCGTGTTTTTACTATGCAGTCCCGTTTCGACACACTCTACCCTTCCTAAACTTCAAACTCTGCCGTAAATTATTTAATAGTATTTCGAAACCATACATTAAATCCGTGATTCCCCATTTCTCACGAATGAGGCACATTCCTGTTGTGGTAAGAAAGAAGTCATTGTGGAGAGAGTACGGCGTAGGAGTAGTCATGTGGTCATCATCTAAGCTTCCAGTCAAAACTTCTCAAGCACCACAATTCAATATCTCGACGTGTACCAGCGCAATCATTGTGCAAATGTTTTAAAAATATAAAATATTAAATATTCTGTAGTTTTTTAAAAGGGTAAGAGGAATTACTTGAAAATAACCCCGAAATTTTCCTCTAAAGGAGCGGTCACTAGGTGACGCCTGCTTCTGCAGAACACCTAGTAGCTAGACTATTTTAAAATAATGCTCAATAATTTTAAAATTAGGACAGTGCAGCATTTTGTGCACTTTGCTCTTGGGGATCTCTCCGATCCGCGAGCTTCTCCGCGTTACAGTCGCACCATCACGTGATGTGCTTGACGGTTCATCCAACAGTCTCACTTTCGCAGGCACACTGAAAAGCGTTGCAACTGCAAGCATCGGTACGACTTTGCCATAACGGAGCTAGCTTGGTTACTCCATTGGAACAGAGCCTAACGAACCACATCCCAATCTCTCGAAATCTCGAACTCTCTCTCTCTCCCCAATGGAGAAATCAAAAGCTTCTACCGAGAGCCCTGACGAGAGCACTGATGATACCCCCATCAGCGAACACGATTCCATGTCTGATGCAGAAGAAGAGACCATCGAACTCAAGAAGGCCAACGGGAGTGGTACTAGTACTGATGGATCACAGTGTCAAGATCAGCAGGATCAGCTGGATGATTTGGATCCTGAAAAGGGCCAAAAGGGAGCACCCGATATTGATAAGCAATCAGGGACCCTCATACGATTTTTAGCAAAGAGTGCCCTCACGCGGACCACTCCTGTCGCTGTTTCGGAGGGTGAACACATGGATTCAGTTGTTGGCTCTATTGAACCTTTCCCAACAAGCTTAGCAAGATCGTCCAGAGAACCTTCACAGCCAGGGGCGTACGCCGAAGGTGGCGAGCGGATCAGCACACCACAATTTGGAGAGAATCAAATAAATGAGCCACGTCATCCTCTAGAAGTAGTAGACGAGGCCAACATCTCTCCTGCTGAAACAACAGAAGGGCTTGTGGAGGCCACACCCGTCGAATCCCCAATTATGGCGTCAGAGCCGGCAGAGCCTGTGGATCATGATAGGCAGCAAGGCAATGTGATGCAGCAAGGTCCTAAGACATGGAATTGGATTGGGTGCATTTCTGCCGCCCTTATCGCAGTTTTGCTACTATTTGTTTCGATCGTAGTCCTGGACAACCCCTCATCAGTGGAAACACCAACCCCATCCACTAACACGACCAAACTTAGTGGAGAAGATGATAGTGTTGTGACCATTGTTTTATCAAGTGGATTGCAGTTGAATGTTCCTCTGGAATTGATGAATAACACACTACAAATTCTGGAAAATGATATGTATGCAACAACGCCCCAAGTCAGAGCCTACAAGTGGGCCCAGAACGATCCTTGGCTTGGGAACTACTCGGAAGAGCAACTGCAACAACGGTTTTCCCTGGTGACGGTTTACTACTCCACAAATGGAAATACCAGTTGGAGGCAAGTTGGAGGCGGGATGGTGTCAGCTCTGTACCGCAACTCGACCATTGAAAAGAAGATCGAAGAATACCAAGTTGCACCAGTTGTACCAGCGCCTTCCTTGGGTGCAAGCAATAGACCACCAGGGAGTGGTTCTGGCAGTGGACCACCACCAGGGGGTCTGCCTCCTGGAATAGAAAGAGTCAATGTCACCTCCAAAGCATGGCTTTCTTACGATGATGAATGTGAGTGGTTTTCATCTACTTTTCGAGCTACTGGAAACACCATCTGTAATGAGCATGGCACAATGCAAACTCTATCACTCAAGAGGAATGGGCTATCCGGTCGAATCCCCGAAGAGATTGGGATGCTGACCAACTTGAAAGCTGTACATTTGTGGAAGAACCAATTGAATGGTCCTATCGTCTCACAATTTGGAGCCATGTCCAACCTAATGGAACTCAACTTGGTCGAAAATGCCCTCAGCGGAACAATCCCAAAGGAAATTGGGAAATTGTCCAATTCACTCAGGTTCTTTGCGGCTGGTGGTGGCCCTCTGACTGGGAGCCTGCCACAAGAGCTTTGGCAATTATCCAAAATGAAGATTCTGCATGTTGCTCATACAGAAATCACTGGCAGCTTGCCACTCAATTTGGCCAATCACATGCCAGATTTGAAGGTGCTGGTACTACACCTCAACCAGCTCTCGGGGCAACTTCCCACATCACTGCCGACTGGGTTGGTTGCCTTGCGTGCCGAGGACAATGGACTCACTGGTTCGATTCCTTCTGAGTTTGGATTGCTGGGGTCTTCCTTGACAAAGTTATTGCTCAGTGGAAACCAACTTTCAGGAACGTTTGCAACAGAATTTGGATTGCTATCCACTCTGTTTGAGCTGTCGTTAGACGGCAATGAACAGATATCGGGCCCTCTCCCATCAGAGCTTGGTTTGTTAAATGAAACCTTGGTGACTCTGAAGCTGGAGGGGACTTTGATCACTGGAAGCATTCCAAGTGAACTTTGTAGTGTCCCGAGGCTAACATTTGACTGTTCTCCGGGGAGACTTTGTGGCTGTGATTGTCCATGTGCACAACTTTGATGAGCCTAGCAGCTTCCAAGAAGTGCAAATTGGACATCGTCGGGGGTCGACACTACAAAGCTCTGACCTGTTTTTGAGCTAGGTAGCTGCTAATTGGTAAATAGCCAGCTACTTAATTCCAACCGTACTGTTGATGCTGCCAATGCTAGCTAGCAGTTAACATGGATGCTTTCGGATCCTTTCCGCGCACAATTTGCTCACTGGAGTCGTTCCCAGCAACTTGGACAATTGACGACTGCAGAATAGCTTCGATTGGAGAACAAGCGCCTTCTGGTCAGAGTCTCAGTGAATTGAGTAAACTGAGAAGGTTTGAATACCCAGCTACTACCGTCGTACTAAGCTTGGCAAACAAAGCTTATCCGGTCCAATCCCTCGAGATCCTTGGTCTCTACAAGCAACATGGCGCACCTTATCATTGAGCAGGAAACCCCTGGCCTGTTTGCATAGGGACCATTCCAGAAGACAGGTTAATGGCCCTGTTGTATTGGATCAATGGGCGCTTTCTTTGATTGGGCTGACTACTTTTAAAAGTTACGGCAGCAATTGCTCATCGTGCTGGTGGCTAAATCATACGGCAAGTATGGAGGCTCGGGGGTGTTGATCGTTATGTAGAAATTCGATTAGTTTGTCTCTTCACAAGCTACTAGCTAGCCAGCTCAATCACGTGTTTGCAGCTGTTGCTTTGCCCTTAAATTCGCGTCCGATGTTAAGCACATTTGTTTCGTCCTCCTCGTTTTTGCTATTGCACGTCCTACGGTATGCATTGTCTCTTTCTCACGTCGTTGCTCGCTTTGATACCTTACCATAATAATCGCAAGATAATATACATTTGATTCGCCTACGTACACGCCTGTACGGTACTGTTCGACCTACCGTAGCTAGCTACCACTGCCTCGGAGTGACTCGTACCGTCATTTCTCCCTCTTGCATTCCATATCCGACAATGGCTTTACACGCCAATCTCCATCGTGGATTATCGGCGAGCATTTGTTGCTCGGCGACGCGTTGTGGATTGAGTAGTTCAGCTCCCGATTGAACGGCGACAGCACACGTTCGACACAATCCTCCTGCCCCGCAATTTCCCCCATTTTTGGTATCGAATCGTTGGGCGAGTGGATCATTCAACTTGACGCCACGGACCAGCATGCCATGGCGCAAATTTTCTCCGGCAAATAACTCTAGTGTGGCATCTTTTTCTTTTTCATCCTCTGGAAATTGCAATTTGACGGTGACTTTGGGTTTGCGGCGCAATCGTTTCAGCGTGAGCGCGTAGTATTCGTCGTTGCCAGTAGAAGGAGGCGGCAACGATTGAATGGCGGCGACCGTGGCATCGTACGAGAGACATTCTGTTTGGACAACAACTTCGGTTTCACTGTCGGCCAATCCTTGACGGGATTGTTGGACCACTGACACTTGCGCAATACTGTCCCCGGGTAAAATCGGTGTGGGTGTTGCCTGAGCGGCGGCTCCTTCCGGCAAGACATTGGAAACGACGGTAATGCCCAATCCATCGTCGCGTCCTCCCGCCAATTCCACCAACTCCAATCCCAACCCGCCAGCACTGCGAGGAAAACTGACTTGGATGGTATCGACGTACAATTCACGGGCCGATTGGGCGGCGAGTTTGGGTTTCACGGTGTTTTCATTGACCTTTTGTACTAAAGTCGCTGTCCATTCTTGTTCTATAGTGTCGAGCGATTCCAAATTGTACCGGTTCAAATCCACGGCCGCTTCTCCTGTTCCCTGCAAGACTTGGGTCGCGACATTTTTGGTAGTGGCGCCAAAGGGAGTGCTGCGAGTGGACAAGCCGAGACGACGAGTCCACAGTGGGAGAGAAGAAGAACAAGAGCGCGAACAGAGACAAGTGGCATGGTGGCTTCTACTACCAGTAGGTACTAGTTAGACTAGAATCCAAAATGTGTACGAGGCGGTTCAAAGATCCTTCAGAGTGGAGACAAAAGAAGAGAAGCAAGCTTGGAATAATATCCATTTGAGTTCCAAGAGCTTCTGCAAGACTTGGGGACGAGGCCTCTCCAATAAGGGTCAAAGAAGAACAGAGGCTATTGGGTGACATGAACACGTCATTGTGATGAAACTCCTAAGAAAGAGGCTCGCCTCGCGCTGTACCCAGCCCTAATGAACCATGTGGCGAAGACTGGACGATCTTTGGATCTTTCGATCACACGAGGAAAACAGATGTCAGGTTTCAACGTTCTTTTCAGAGCTCTTCCAAGCTACAAGCATAAAGCATTCGTCTTGTACAAGTACTAGTACCATACCTTCCTCTTGTGCAAACAACAATTAATTGCAAGATCAAGATGTGGAAGATCCAACAAGCGGCGTTCTCCTCGGGCTTGGCTCCAACAACAGTTGTAGTGCGCCACAAGCGGACCAAAGTTGGATCCTTGGTTCCAGCGAGATTATTATCATTATCTTCTACAGAACTCGCCTCCTCGTCGTCGTTTTGGTTGGCAGATCAAGTCTTGTCGTCGTCGTCAACACCTTCTACTACCACCTTTGAACCCGTCCTCAACGTTCCTGCCCTGGCATCCTTTGTCTTGATCATGACCATGGCATTCGTTCTGCGCCAACGGGTCAATTCCATCAATGACGCCGCCCAAGCACGGATTGCCGCCCTGGAAGCCTTGCGAGACCGAAAATCCAAAGAATTGAATCAAGAAGCGACGACGGAAGAGGTTCAACAAGCCATCACAGCCTATCAAAATGCGCTCACAGCCGAAGAATCGCTACGGACATTGGCACCGGGCATTCGTTTGCGAGCTCCCAACAATCCGCTCTTGTCGGAAATGGATCAACAAGCGGCACGGCAATTTCTCAGTAACAACAATAACAACAACAACAACAATACGACACCCTTGTTGCAAGAATTACTCGACAACAGCAACAGCAATAATAATAATGAGTATGATCCACCCGTCGAATTTCCACCCGTGGCACTGGGAGCACTCTGGACATTTGTCTTTGGATCGCAAATACTCCTCTTTTTGTTTCTAACAATGAACGACACGGTCGCTACAGAAGTATTTGATAGTCTGGCAGGAGATGCGATCGTCCAGGAAGGTCTGGGAATGACACCCGCCAGCACCGTGGCAGAAACAGTCGGTGATATCATGAGTATGGAGTAATTTAAATAAAATAAAAGCTACATGTAGTAACATACATACTAGACAGTATTGGGTGGAAGGAAGAAGCATGCTAGCTTTTTAAATTTGACAGCAATGGCTAGCTAGCTAGCTAGCTAGCTAGCTAGTGCCAAAGATGCTACCAGAGTTCAAAGCTGACAGACAAAAGAAATCAAGAATGGATTCTATGTTACAAGGTACAGTACATTCGTACATTACATAGTGTTGCTATTCGGAGGCAAAAGTGGGACTGGAGGTTGGCTCCTCGGTGGGTGTTTCTGTGAGCGAGGTTTCTTCTTCTGCTGGTGTTGGAGACTCTGTTGGTGATTCCGTCGGTGAGATTTCTTCTTCCACAGGTGTGGGAGACTCTGTAGGGCCTTCCGTTGGAGATTCAGTGGGTGAGGTTTTTTCCTCTGGAGTAGGGACTCTGTGGGCATGCAGTTGGAGCTTCTGTTGGGGATTCAGTAGGTGTTTCTGTGGGCGAGGCTTCATCAAATGGGGTGGGGGACTCTGTAGGTGAATCAGTTGGAACTGCTGTTGGGAACTCTGTAGGGCTTTCAGTGGGAGTTTCCGTGGGGGAGGCTTCATCAACTGGGGTGGGGGACTCCGTAGGCGATTCAGTTGGAGCTTCAGTTGGTGTCTCTGTTGGCAATTCAGTTGGAGCTTCTGTTGGGGACTCGGTAGGTGATTCAGTGGGCGAGGTTTTTTCCTCTGGAGTAGGGGACTCTGTAGGGCTTTCCGTTGGAGCTTCTGTTGGGAACTCGGTAGGAGATTCAGTGGGTGCTTCTGTTGGAGACTCCATGACTTGTTGGTCCCCTGCTTGGGACTCAATGGCTTGTTGGTTACATGATTCCGATGCACCACAAAAGGATTCATAAAAGTCATCGCCACACTCATAAAATTGTTCTTCATCATTGGCATTGCAACACTTGGATGCATCAGATTGGCAAACCTGAAAGCCTTGTTCATCACAAAATGTTTCCATTGAAAAACATGTGTATGAAAAAGGACATGTTTCAGAGCAAGGGTCACAATCTGGTAGATCTATTCCAAAGGGGGCAGACGCCTCCAATAACCTGGAAGAAACCAAGTAACAGCAGTGATTAGCACATTCACTAGGTCCAGATCCCTGCTTTTCCGTTGGAGCTTCCGTTGGTAATTCAGTTGGTGTCTCCGTTGGAGCTTCCGTGGGTGTCTCTGTTGGTAATTCAGTTGGATTTGCTGTGGGTGCCTCGGTTGGAGCATCTGTGACTGGATCGGTGGGCTGTTGGTCACATGATTCCTGTATGCCGCAGAATTCATCAAAAACAAAAGCGCCACACCAGGTCACTTGCTGGTCGAACTCATCGCAACACCAGTCGGCATCTGTGCTGCAAACTTGCAAGCCCAAATCACTACAATGCTGTTGCATTGTTTGACACTTGTAAGGAGCGCAGGTTCCAGAACAAGGGTCGTCACAAAATTGCAGACTCCTTGAAAGATCCGACTCCTTTAAAAACCTGGAAGCGATTGCTGCGCAGCAGTGGTTGGCACATTCATCAAGTGCTGATGTTGGCTTTGGAGTTGGTGCTGGCGCAGGTGCGGCTTCTTGGCAGCGGAAACAGAACTCAATGCTGTCTATCACATTTGCAAAACCCACTCCCAGACGGTACGTATCATCTTGGACAAGCTCATAGAGTGTCCCACCATTGGTCGCCTTGACAAGCACCGATACATCAACATCAGGGGTGATAGTTGCCGCAAAATAGGCTCCAGAGGCTGGATCCTGATCTCCACAAGATAAATCAAATGATCCAAGACCATTCACCCCACAATTCCCTAAGTCCACCCCAACATCAAAAGGGGTCCTTTCAAGGCTATCAAAAGCAGAATCTGTTTGGCCACCACAACCATTGACACGGTATCCAAATTGGAAGCCATCAATGTCTTTACAGGAAACAGCGGCAGCATGTGTTGGAGGGGGGACCCAGGGCGTAGGATTGGAGCTGGGTGAGCCACTAGGGTTGGAGCTTCGTGTAGGAGGCACACTTGGGGTGGAACTTGGTAATATGCTGGGAGTGGTACTTGGTGAAGCACTAGGGTTTGAGCTCGATGTTGGAGGTACACTTGGAGCGGAACTTGGTGATGTGCTGGGAAGAGAGCTTGGTGAGACACTTGGGATTGAGCTGGATGTGGGGGGATCACTTGGAAAACCACTTGGTGATGTGCTGGGAATAGAGCTTGGAGATACACTAGGGCTGGAGCTTGATGTGGGAGATTGACTTGAACCAGAACTTGGTGCTGTACTGGGAATAGAGCTTGGTAAGACACTTGGTCTGGAGCTCAATGTGGGGGATTGACTTGAACCAGAACTTGGTGATGTGCTGGGAATAGAGCGCTTGGTATACACTAGGCTGGAGCTTGATGTGAGATTGACTTGAACCAGAACTTGGTATGTACTGGGAATAGAGCTTGGTAAGACACTTGGTCTGGAGCTCAATGTGGGTGATTGACTGGGCTAAACTTGGTGGTGTACTGGGAGTAATGCTAGGTGAGACACTTGGGATTGAGCTCAATGAGGGAGCTTCACTTGGGATAGAAATTGGTGATGTGCTGGGAACAGAGCTTGGTGAAACACTAGGGCTTGAGCTTATTGTGGGAGATTGACTTGGACCGGAACTTGGTGATGTGCTGGGCATAGAGCTTGCGGAGACACTTGGGCTAGAGCTCGATGAGGGGGGTTCACTTGGTGCATCACTGGGTGCTTTGCTGGGAATAGAGCTTGGTGAGACACTCGGGCTGGAGCTTATTGTGTGAGATTGACTCGGACCAAAACTTGGTGACCTGCTGGGAATAGAGCTTGGTGAGACACTCGGGCTTGAGCTCATGAGGGGGTTCACTCGGGATAGAGCTCGGTGATGTGCTGGGAATAGAGCTTGGTGAGAAACTAGGGCTGGAACTTGAAGCGGGAGATACACTTGGTGTATCACTTGGTGCTTTGCTGGGAATAGAGCTTGGTGAGACACTGGGGCCCGAGCTTTCTGTGGGAGATACACTTGGTGTTTCACTAGGAGCTTTGCTAGGACTGTAGGTTGGAAGACCACTAGGATGAGGACTCAATGTGGGAGATTGACTCGGAGCACGACTTGGTGATGTGCTGGGATGGTCTTGGTGAGACACTTGGGCTGGACTGGTGACGTGGAGGAGTGGACTGATGATGGAATAGAACAGATGGATGTGGTTTGACTGGGAATAGAGCTTGGTGAGACACTGGGCTGGAGCTGGATGTGGGGGTCACTGGGGATGGAGCTTGGTGAGCTGCTGGGAGTAGAGCTTGGTGAGACACTAGGGTTCGAGCTCGATGTTGGAGATTGACTGGGACAGAACTTGGCACTTGCTGGAATAGAGCTAGGTGAGAACTTGGGCTTGAGCTCAATGAGGGGTTCACTTGGGTAGAGCTTGGTGATGCACTGGGAATAGAGCTTGGTGAGACACTCGGGCTGGAGCTGATGTGGGGGGTTCACTGGGATGGAGCTTGGTGAGCTGCTGGGAGTAGAGCTTGGTGAGACACTGGGTTGAGCTCGATGTTGGAGATTGACTGGGACCAGAACTGGCGACTTGCTGGAATAGAGCTAGGTGAGACACTTGGGCTTGAGCTCAATGGGGGTTCACTTGGGAGGTGTGATGCACTGGATAGAGCTTGGTGAGACACTCGGGCTGAGCTGGATGTGGGGGTTCACTGGGATGAGCTTGGTGAGCTGCTGGGAGTAGAGCTTGGTGAGACACTTGGGTTGGAGCTCGATGTTGGAGATTGACTGGACAGAACTTGGGACTTGCTGGGATAGGCTAGGTGAGACACTTGGGCTTGAGCTCAATGAAGGGGGTTCACTTGGTGTATCACTGGGTGCTTTGCTGGGAATAGAGCTTGGTGAGACACTAGGGTTCGAGCTCGATGTTGGAGATTGACTCGGAACAGAACTTGGTGACTTGCTGGGATGGTGCTTGGTGAGACACTCGGGCTTGAGCTCGATGAGGGGGGTTCACTCGGGATAGAGCTTGGTGATGTGCTGGGAATAGAGCTTGGTGCGAAACTAGGGCTGGAACTTGAAGTGGGAGATACACTTGGTGTATCACTGGGTGCTTTGCTGGGAATAGAGCTTGGTGAGACACTGGGACCCGAACTTTCTGTGGGAGATACACTTGGTGTTTCACTAGGAGCTTTGCTAGGACTGTAGGTTGGAAGACCACTAGGATGAGGACTCAATGTGGGAGATTGACTCGGAGCACGACTAGGTGATGTGCTGGAGTCATACTTGGTGAGACACTTGGGCTGGAGCTCGATGTTGGAGATTGACTTGGGATAGAACTTGGAATAGAACTCGATGAGGGAGCTTCACTTGGGATAGAACTTGGTGATGCACTGGGAATAGAGCTTGGTGAGACACTCGGGCTGGAGCTGGATGTGGGGGGTTCACTGGGGAGAGCTTGGTGATGCTGGGAGTAGAGCTTGGTGAGACACTAGGGTTCGAGCTCGATGTGGAGTTGACTGGGACCAGAACTTGGCGATTGCTGGGAATAGAGCTAGGTGAGACACTTGGGCTTGAGCTCAATGAGGGAGTTTCACTTGGGGTAGAGCTTGGTGATGCACTGGGAATAGAGCTTGGTGAGACACTCGGGCTGAGCTCATGTGGGGGTTCACTGGGGGTGAGCTTGGTGAGCTGCTGGGAGTAGAGCTTGGTGAGACACTTGGTTGGGCTCGATGTTGGAGATTGACTGGGACAGAACTTGGCGACTTGCTCGGAATAGAGCTAGGTGAGACACTTGGGCTTGAGCTCAATGAAGGGGGTTCACTTGGTGTATCACTGGGTGCTTTGCTGGGAATAGAGCTTGGTGAGACACTAGGGTTGAGCTCGATGTTGGAGATTGACTCGGAACAGAACTTGGTGACTTGCTGGGGATGGTGCTTGGTGAACTGGGCTTGAGCTCGATGAGGGGGGTTCACTCGGGATAGAGCTCGGTGATGTGCTGGGAATAGAGCTTGGTGCGAAACTAGGGCTGGAACTTGAAGTGGGAGATACACTTGGTGTATCACTGGGTGCTTTGCTGGGAATAGAGCTTGGTGAGACACTGGGACCCGAACTTTCTGTGGGAGATACACTTGGTGTTTCACTAGGAGCTTTGCTAGGACTGTAGGTTGGAAGACCACTAGGATGAGGACTCAATGTGGGAGATTGACTCGGAGCACGACTAGGTGATGTGCTGGGAGTCATACTTGGTGAGACACTTGGGCTGGAGCTCGATGTTGGAGATTGACTTGGGATAGAACTTGGAATAGAACTCGATGAGGGAGCTTCACTTGGGATAGAACTTGGTGATGCACTGGGAATAGAGCTTGGTGAGACACTCGGGCTGGAGCTGGATGTGGGGGGTCACTGGGGATGGAGCTTGGTGAGCTGCTGGGAGTAGAGCTTGGTGAGACACTAGGGTTCGAGCTCGATGTGGAGATTGACTGGGACAGAACTTGGCGACTTGCTGGAATAGAGCTAGGTGAGCACTTGGGCTTGAGCTCAATGAGGGAGATTCACTTGGGTAGAGCTTGGTGACACTGGGATAGAGCTTGGTGAGACACTCGGGCTGGAGCTGGATGTGGGGGTTCATGGGGGTGAGCTGGTGAGCTGCTGGGAGTAGAGCTTGGTGAGACACTTGGGTTGGAGCTCGATGTTGGAGATTGACTGGGACAGAACTTGGCGACTTGCTCGGAATAGAGCTAGGTGAGACACTTGGGCTTGAGCTCAATGAAGGGGGTTCACTTGGTGTATCACTGGGTGCTTTGCTGGGAATAGAGCTTGGTGAGACACTAGGGTTGAGCTCGATGTTGGAGATTGACTGGACAGAACTTGGTGATTGCTGGGGATGGTGCTTGGTGAGACACTGGGTTGAGCTCGATGAGGGGGGTTCACTCGGGATAGAGCTTGGTGATGTGCTGGAATAGAGCTTGGTGCGAAACTAGGGCTGGAACTGGGTGATCACTTGGTGTTTGGTTCACTGGTGCTTTGCTGGGAATAGAGCTTGGTGAGACACTGGGACCCGAACTTTCTGTGGGAGATACACTTGGTGTTTCACTAGGAGTTTGCTAGGACTGTAGGTTGGAAGACCACTAGGATAGGACTCAATGTGGGAGATTGACTCGGAGCACGACTGGTGATGTCTGGGTTCTTGGTGAGCACTTGGGTGGAGCTCGATGTTGGAGATTGACTGGGGATAGAACTTGGTGATGTGCTGGGGGCTTCTTGGGAAGACTTGTGATGCACTGGGAATAGGCTTGGTGACACTGGCTGGAGCTGGATGTGGGGGGTTCACTGGGGATGAGCTTGGTGCTGCTGGGAGTAGAGCTTGGTGAGACACTGGGTTGAGCTCGATGTTGGAGATGACTGGGACCAGAACTTGGGACTTGCTGGAATAGAGCTAGGTGAGACACTTGGGCTTGAGCTCAATGAAGGGGTTCACTTGGGTAACTTGGTGATGCTCTGGGAATAGAGCTTGGTGAGACACTGGGCTGAGCTGGATGGGGGTTACTTGGAGCTTGGTGAGCTGTGGGAGTAGAGCTTGGTGAGACACTGGGCTGGAGCTCGATGTGAGATGACTGGGACAAACTTGGCGACTTGCTGGAATAGAGCTAGGTGAGACACTTGGGCTTGAGCTCATGAGGGGGTTCACTTGGGATCAGGCTTGGTATGTGCTGGGAATAGAGCTTGGTGAGACACTAGGGTTCGAGCTGATGTTGGAGATTGACTCGGAACAGAACTTGGAACTTGCTGGGATGGCTAGGTGAGAAACTTGGGCTTGAGCTCGATGAGGGGGTTCACTCGGGATAGAGCTCGGTGATTGCTGGGAATAGAGCTGGTGCGAAACTAGGGCTGGAACTTGAAGTGGGAGATACACTTGGTGTATCACTGGGTGCTTTGCTGGGAATAGAGCTGGTGAGACACTGGGGCCCGAACTTTCTGTGGGAGATACACTTGTGTTTCACTAGGAGCTTTGCTAGACTGTAGGTTGGAGACCACTAGGATGAGGACTCAATGTGGGAGAATTGACTCGGAGCACGACTAGTTGTCTGGATCACACTTGTAACACTTGGGCTGGAGCTCGATGGGAGACTTGGGTAAACTTGGATAGAACTCGATGAGGGACTACTTGGATAGAATTGGTGATGCACTGATAGCTTGGTGAGACACTCGGGCTGGGGGGATGTGGGGGGTCACTGGGGATGGAGCTTGGTGAGCTGCTGGGGTAGAGCTTGTGAACACTAGGGTTCGAGCTCGATGTTGGAGATTGACTGGGACCAGAACTTGGCGACTTGCTGGAATAGAGCTAGGTGAACACTTGGGCTGTGAGCTCAATGAGGGGGTTCACTTGGTAGATTGTGATGCAGGAATAGAGCTTGGTGAGACACTCGGCTGGAGCCGATGTGGGTTCACTGGGGATGGAACTTTGGAGCTGGGATAGAGCTTGGTGAGACACTTGGGTTGGAGCTCGATGTTGGAGATTGACTGGGACCAGAACTTGGCGACTTGCTAGGAATAGAGCTAGGTGAGACACTCGGGCTTGAGCTCGCATGAGGGGGGTTCACTCGGGATAGAGCTGGTGATGGCTGCTAGTGTGCCTGGATGAGAATAGAGCTTAGGTGATGAGCACTTGGGTGTCGAGCTCGATGTTGGAGATTGACTCGGAACAGAACTTGGTGAACTGCTTGGGGCTGGAGCTAACGCTTGGAGATTCACTTGGGCTAGTGCTTGGGGATGCACTTGGGCCTGCACTGGGGGATCCACTGGGATACCTGCTTGGAGAGGCGCTTGGTGACTTGCTGGGGCTGGTGCTTGGCGAACTACTTGGTGTATCACTGGGTGCTTTGCTGGGAATAGAGCTTGGTGAGACACTGGGACCCGAACTTTCTGTGGGAGATACACTTGGTGTTTCACTAGGAGCTTTGCTAGGACTGTAGGTTGGAAGACCACTAGGATGAGGACTCAATGTGGGAGATTGACTCGGAGCACGACTAGGTGATGTGCTGGGAGTCATACTTGGTGAGACACTTGGGCTGGAGCTCGATGTTGGAGATTGACTTGGGATAGAACTTGGAATAGAACTCGATGAGGGAGCTTCACTTGGGATAGAACTTGGTGATGCACTGGGAATAGAGCTTGGTGAGACACTCGGGCTGGAGCTGGATGTGGGGGGTTCACTGGGGATGGAGCTTGGTGAGCTGCTGGGAGTAGAGCTTGGTGAGACACTAGGGTTCGAGCTCGATGTTGGAGATTGACTGGGACCAGAACTTGGCGACTTGCTGGGAATAGAGCTAGGTGAGACACTTGGGCTTGAGCTCAATGAAGGGGGTTCACTTGGTGTATCACTGGGTGCTTTGCTGGGAATGAGCTTGGTGAGACACTAGGGTTCGAGCTCGATGTTGGAGATTGACTCGGAACAGAACTTGGTGACTTGCTGGGGATGGTGCTTGGTGAGACACTCGGGCTTGAGCTCGATGAGGGGGTTCACTCGGGAAGAGCTTGGTGATGTGCTGGGAATAGAGCTTGGTGCGAAACTAGGGCTGGAACTTGAAGTGGGAGATACACTTGGTGTATCACTGGGTGCTTTGCTGGGAATAGAGCTTGGTGAGACACTGGGACCCGAACTTTCTGTGGGAGATACACTTGGTGTTTCACTAGGAGCTTTGCTAGGACTGTAGGTTGGAAGACCACTAGGATGAGGACTCAATGTGGGAGATTGACTCGGAGCACGACTAGGTGATGTGCTGGGTGTGGTGCTTGGTGAGACACTTGGGCTGGAGCTCGATGAGGGGAGCTTCACTTGGGATAGAACTTGGTGATGTGCTGGGAATAGAGCTTGGTGAGACACTGGGCTGGAGCTGGGATGACTGGGAGGGCTGTGGCATGCTGGAGTGGAGTGGGGGGTCTGGATGGAGCTTGGTGAGCTGCTGGGAGTAGAGCTTGGTGAGACACTAGGGTTCGAGCTCGATGTTGGAGATTGACTGGGACCAGAACTTGGCGACTTGCTGGGAATAGAGCTAGGTGAGACACTTGGGCTTGAGCTCAATGAGGGGGTTCACTTGGTGTATCACTGGGTGTTTGCTGGGAATAGAGCTTGGTGAGACACTAGGGCTGGAGCTTATTGTGGGGATTGACTCGGAACAGAACTTGGCAACTTGCTGGGAATAGAGCTTGGTGAGACACTTGGGCTTGAGCTCGATGAGGGGGTTCACTCGGGATAGAGCTCGGTGATGTGCTGGGAATAGAGCTTGGTGCGAAACTAGGGCTGGAGCTTGAAGTGGGAGATACACTTGGGTATCACTGGGTGCTTGCTGGGAATAGAGCTTGGTGAGACACTAGGGCTTGTGCTCAATGTGGGAGGTGCACTTGGTACAGTACTTGGGGGTGTGCTGGGAATAGAGCTTGGCAAGACACTTGGGTTGGAGCTCAATGTTGGAGATTGACTTGGGGGAGAACTTATTGAAGGACTGGGGGTTATACTTGGTGAGATGCTTGGGCTGGAGCTAAACGTTGGAGATTCACTTGGCGTGTCACTGGGTGCAGGGCTTGGATTGAAGCTTGGAAGATCACTGGGTGCGAAGCTTGGGCTGTAGCTTGGCGAGGCACTCGGTATAGGGCTTGGCGCAAAACTTGGGGGTGTGCTGGGAATTCGGCTTGGTGACACACTCGGGATGGAGCTCAGTGAGGGAGCTTCACTTGGATTAGAACTTGGGGATGTGCTGGGTGTGGTGCTTGGTGAGACACTTGGGCTGGAGCTTGATGTGGGAGATACACTTGGTGTATCGCTGGGTGCTTTGCTTGGGCTGACGGTCGGAAGACCACTGGGATGAGGACTTGCTGTAGGATATTCACTTGGGGTAAGACTTGGAGGCATGCTAGGAATCAAGCTCGGTGACGCGCTGGGCCTGGAGCTCAATGTGGGCACTTCACTTGGTGAAAGACTGGGTTCTGCCCTTTCACTTGGTTCTCCGCTTGGTGAAAGACTGGGGATACTGCTAGGACTGGATGATGGCTGAAGTGATGGTCTGAATGAAGGTCTTCCAGTCGGACTGCTTGTTGGTACTGAATCAACACGCACATATACTGCAGGGACTCCAGTGGATGATGTCATGGAATCCAAATATAACTTCTGTCTACCACTACGAATGAATGGATCTCCTCCAATCCGGTCGGTTTCTGCAATAAAATTTGCTTCGCTGAAGCCTACTCGCAACAATTTTACTCCAACCAACCAAGGAGAGCAGGTTTCATTCCGGGTGGCAGAAAATGCGGTCTTGAATGATGACAAGAGCTCAGGATTGGAAACGCCAGAGATTTCATCATCGAATCCCACCGTGACTGCTTCAGAAAACGGCAAAAACCCACAGAATGATGCTAATGTTGTTGGGCTGCTGCTGGGAACCACAGATGGAGCTGACGAAGGGTTCAGGCTTGGCATTGGTGAGGGAACACTGGATGGTTCCAGTGATGGCAAGTTTGATGGTGCTGATGACGGTGATTGACTTTGTGACGGACTGGATGATGGCATGTCTGTGGGAGGATTGGTGGGAGGTTCAGTGGGGGCATTCGTCGGCGGCGCAGTAGGTGGGTTGGTGGGGGGTGCTGTGGGGGCGTTCGTTGGCGGTGCTGTTGGAGCATTGGATGGTGGGGGTGTAGGGACGCTGGATGGTGTACCTGTTGGGATTCCAGAAGGAGACGATGATGGTGTGGATGTTGTTGGGCTAGCCGAAGGTGCTCCGGGAGTAACAGTTGGAATCGAAGTCGGAGACGCTGTTGGTATGTCTGTGGGAACATCAGAAGGGGAGATGGATGGACTTAAACTGGGTGAAGTTGTTGGAGAACTCGATGGTAACGACGATGGGGTGGTGCTGGGGGGCACAGAGGGCACTTCTGAAGGTGAACCTGTTGGTCTTGTAGAAGGCGACAATGATGGTGTGGCTGTTGTTGGGCTAGCTGAAGGGTTTCCTGGAGTGACAGTTGGAATCAAGGATGGAGAAGCTGTTGGTACATCCGTGGGAACATCAGAAGGGGAGATAGATGGACTTGCGCTGGGAGACCTTGATGGTAATGATGATGGGGTGGAGCTCGGGGGAAGAGAGGGCACCTCCGAAGGAGAAACTGTTGGTATTGTAGAGGGGGGCGAAGATGGTGTGGCTGTTGTCGGGCTGGCTGAAGGGTTTCCTGGAGTGACAGTTGGAATCGAGGAAGGTAATAGTGTTGGTGCTTTTGTTGGAATATCAGATGGAGACAAGGACGGAGCTGCACTGGGTGACACTGTTGGCGAAAAAGTTGGTTGGGGTGATGGTAGAAACGTTGGTTCGGACGTAGGCTCCAAAGTGGGTTCAACAGTAGGCTCGGAAGTGGGATCATTAGTGGGTTCAGGAGTGGGTTCAAAGGTTGGCTGTGCACTCGGTGTGCCGGAGGGAGCCAGCGTTGGCGTTGGAAAAAGCTCGAAATCCGGCGATCGGTCAAGGAGGAACAGATTCAAGAGCTCCAGAAGCCTCTGCGCCACGGCGATCCGATGTGTCTCATCCCGAAACAACTGCACGGTTTCAGAAACAAATTCAATAGGCTGCAGGGAAACTATCCTTGAATCGATGGTAACAAATCCACTCGCGCCTTGTTGTAGGCGTCGTGCACCATTCACAATCGACGCTTGAAGGAGAATTGGAGAGCAAGTATCAATTCTGAAAACGTTGTACGCAGCAGGGTAGTTTCCGCTCAGGAAAACTTCTGTATCCTCAGGCGACAGGGTGAGGATCTCACTCGGATACAAAACAGAGTATCTTGCGTCGACAATGTCCAGGCTCCGGCTTAAGTCTGCACATGATACGTCCACTTCAGCAATGATAATATCGTCGCTTCCAGAACCTTCATTTTCAGTATTGTCTATCCCATTGCCTCCAGTGGCCATGTCGATGATTTCATCGAGCTCGGGAGCGAATTCCTCGGGAGACGGTCCTCGTCCATCAGGCTCGATGCCTGCCGCGCAGTAGCAAGCTTCGCCTTCCAAAGCCTGGAGGCTTCGACGTTGATCACGAAGTCCCCGGGTCGTCTCGATGGTGGATAGTGCTCGACGAAACCCATCATCGAAAAGGTTGAAACTTCCAGTTGGCGAAATGGGGCAACCGCGACACTCACCAGTCACTCTGAAGAAAGTGGGCTCGAAAAAAGTAACATTTGAAGAGTCCGTATCATTCGAGGCAAGGGTCAAGTTTTGAGCAATGCTTGCGTCCTCTCCTGGACCGAACGCATCCTGCTGCAAACGGCGAGATACAAAGTTCTGCCCAACGACGAGTTCAACGCTCGTGACCCGTCGAAAGAAACTGTCGCAGCCTTCGAACGAGATCGTATTGTACAAAGACATGAAACCAGATTCAATTTCACTCATCGCCGCTCCGTCAACTTGAAGCTCATTCAATCGAAGGCCTGTGTAGACTGCTGACTCAAACTGCTCGACATCTGCAATACAATCAACCTGCTGGCCCTCGACCATCATCGTGACTATGGCGACGTTGGTGCCGACGGACACAGATGTGAGGATGCCCCCAGCAACCAACTCGTCGAGTCGCTGGTTGAACAACGTTTGAAACTGTTCTATGGTCGGACCTTGACCAATATCTACCCCGTCAGGACAGATGCAGACTTGAGAACGCATCTGCAATTCCCGCTGGAACCTCCCAAAGATTTCAAGTGTTGATAGTGACCTGCGGAAAACGTCATCAAAGAGATTGAACGATCCCTGAGGAGAAATGGGACATCCTCGGCATTGCCCAGTTACTTCAAATATCGCATCTCGGCTCCGAAGCGATTCTGTAAGATTCAGGGCGTCCGTATCTGTCCCATTGTCCAGAACGCCAGGTTCCTGAAGGCGGCGCTCGCGAGGGAGTTGAGCCGATGCAGAAGGATCCACCTGCAGATCGACTTCCACGACACTACGAAAGTCGCCATCACACAGAAAGTATGTTAGAGCATTGTAAGTATCCCGGAAAGTTGCTTCCAACACATTTTTCTCTTCGAGTGTCAACTTGTCAAAGTCGATCGTGACGTCGGAAAACACAGCAGAAGAAAAGATAGAAGCGTTGGAAGGGCAGTCAACCTCGTATCCCTCCACAACTTGCTCGGCGGAATCAACCGACGACAGGTTGAGCGATTCAAGCCGCTGATTGAAGGCTTCAAGGAATTCGTCTTCTGAGGGCGACCCGTTGATGCCGGGTTCCACTCCTGCAGGACATTTGCACACGTTATTCTCAACAAGCCCTTGATTCAGCATTCTAGGCTCGTCCAAATCCAACCAGGTTGGAGACGAATCTAATCGACGCCGAAAGATATCGTCAAAGAGATCGAATCTTCCCCTGGGTGAAATTGGGCAACCTCTGCATTGCCCAGCAACTTGGAACACAAGTGCTTCTCTCAAACCTGTGAGTTGGCCAGTCGAATTTCCCGCAGTCTCGTTTTGCGCCAGAGTCTCGTTTACACCAATCATCATCGACGGTGTCTCCGTTTCTTGAAGATTTCGACGGAGAGGTATCAGATCAGAAGATGGACCGATCAGAATCGTCGCGTTCACCACCTTGCGATAGTACTTGTCGCAAGTTTTATACGACAGCTCATTGTACGTTTCGGCAAACGTTTGCTGCAGTTTTGCCATGTCCTGCTCCGAAATATCTATGAACTGAATGTCAAAGCTGACGTAGGCATAAGACGAGAAGAAGTCAGTGCTTGTCCCACAATCTATTCGTTGTTCTTCCGCAACTTGCATCGCGGCAGATGGATCGCCCAAACTAAGGTTCAAGCGCTCGTTGAAGAAGAATTGAAACTCTTCTGCGGTTGGAGCTCGGAATGCATTGGAATCGTTCTTGGGACACACACAAGTCGAAGTGGGATCAGAACCCTGACGCGCGATCCCAAGAGACGGTCGGGTGTTTGACCCCGGTAAGAAGAATGGGCCGCCAAATTGAGGGGCAAGAGTGATGGCTTCGGTGGTGGTATCTGGAGCCACTGTGCTGTTTTGTTCCATCGTTGTCTCGTTGAGTCGAGGAAACTTGTGGAAGAGAGGCGTCGTGGAGTTGCATTTGTCGCATTCCGCGACAACCTCCAAGGTGTATATCGTGGCGTTGAGAAGATCAACGTCACTCTGGTTCATGTCCGAATAGGTCTCTAGTAGAAGAAGCGCATCTAAAGCTTCCTCCGTGATGGTTTGATTGGGTGCCAGTGGGGTTGCTTTCGCACTGACCACGTTGCGGAAGAGAGGGTTGTCGCATAGCGTAAAGGTCAACAAGTTGTATGCTTCCATAAAGTTCTCTTCCAACCAGGTCAAATTGACGTTCTCATCGTCCCAGAGTCGAACGTATACTGTGGCATCAAACTGATCCTTGTTCGATGAGCAGTCATACTCCACTACGTCGACCAAGTCTTGCTTGTTGGATGGCGGTTCCGCCAGTCGACGACGAGCGTTGGTCTCGAACGAGTCCTGTACCTGCGAGACTGCAGTTTGAAGCCATCGATCCCACGGTGACTGCGGCGAAGAATTGTCTAGTAGGTTGCAATGGCGGCAGATGCCCGCAAGTGTAAACTCGACAATCTCGTGTCCTTCCAGCGACGGTGCGAGCCGTGTCATGAGTTCGACATGCTGTACTGATATCAAGTCATGACTTCGCAGACCGTAATGATGTGAGTGGTCGTCGTCAAACGCATCTAGGAGTGCACTCTCTAGCACATGTCTAGGTAGCGGCAAGGAAGAACCGTCCGTGGTTGTCGGCACCCAAAGTTGTACGGTCGTCTCAAAGGCAACGGACGGCCGTTGAAGGTCCTTGCTGTTGTCGTCGACTTGCGCCACCTGACGAATGTATCTCAAGCCTGACGGCATGAAACGACGCGTTGAATGGTCCGAGGAACGCATCTCTCTAACAGCATTGTTGAAAGCTAAAAGGAATTCTTCATGATTGGGAGGTCGTCGTTTGGCATCATCGGATGGGCATTGGCATTCTTGTCTCAAGAGGGTTGGTTGATGGTCTCCTTCTTCCTCGCCGTGGAATCGGAGTGTTCGGCCTGATCTTGTGCTCCTCTCCCGAAGTTGGTCGTTCCCATTGGTGCTTCTACTAAAGCCCCTGTTCTCGGCTTGGATCTCATCTCTGGGAGACCTGCGAAGCCAACCAGCATGATCTGCACCACCGCTGCTTTGGTGCGGTGGAAACCCTCCCGGTCTAGCAGAGTGTTGATGGGAAAACCAGGAGTGATGCTGTTGAGATGTATGGTCTGGATCGTGTCGTTGTGTTGAAGCCAGAAAGCCCTCATTCGTGCTACCCCTATAGCCATCCCAGTACCCATTTAGGGTATATCGTGCCTTCCAAGCTACCACAGTGGTATTGTCGTTTTGCCTGGATTTCAGAATCTCTAGTTCATTGTTGGAGTATCGCATGGCATCGACGGAGATGCTGCTTAACCTTCGGTAGTGTGGATCGCAGAATTCGGGCCCCGCTTGTTCCGTGTTGTATGTTTCGACAAAGAAGTCTCCGAGCATTTGTTGCTCAGTCTCCGTTGGCCGCCAGTCATCCACGACATTGTCATCTTGAAGCGAAAAGACATGAGTTACATCGAGGAAACTTTCAACGGGCTGAGAAGACTCGGTGCACCGCACATCCGGTGCCTGGTCGTGGTTGATGGCAATCACTCCTGCGCTCCGCAATGCCACCATAGCTAATGCCGGTGTGAGCAGTTTCCTGTTTGGCTTCCTCATGCTTTTCGAACGCTCTTAAAGGAAGGTATCGGATAAGAGATTGATTGACTAACTAATATACTAGAAGCTAGCTAGCTCTGTAGTAGACCTCAAGAGGCAAGAGGAGGAGGAGCTTGCTGCTGTTTGTGATGCTACAGATAGGTGATGATACCTTGTTGTTGTGTTTTGTGTAAAATCTGGCGGGGCTTTGATGATCCACCGCTCCACAAGCATCTCCCTCGCTCTCGTTCCTCGATTTTGGCCCAGTTTTTTGATATTCGTGCTTGAAAAGCGTGACGTTAAGCTCTGGGTGACCTTTTTTATCGAATATTGCATGACTTTCTTTACTGTTGACGAATTGTACTAAAAATGGTCATCAAAGGTTCACAGAGGCATTGGCTGCATTCTCTGGGAGAACCATGATAATAATTAAAAATTATCAGGGAGAGTGCAAGGGTACACGATCCCGCTTTGTTCAGAACGTGGGGAAGGGGCTTAAAACTGCCAAAAATCGCTCGTGATTAAAAACGTGAAGGAAGTCATTATTATCTTTAGATACCGCATGTTATATCCTTTTAAAATGCTTTTCAAGAAACTACCTTCGAAGCTTATCCAAAAAAGCCTCTGGGAGTAAAACCAATGTAACGTTCCGGTACAGCTAGCTATTTAGCCGCACCGTCTCAATTATTTATTTTCAAGTTGTTGCTCAAGCTCTTCAACTCCCATTTAACTTCATTCAGATAGAAGGACGTTGGCAAGCAGTACCAGTGTACCAGTACCAGTACCAGTACCAAAACCACCAATGCCACCACGCATTTGCGTTCACACTCTCCCCACTCCCGCGCTTGATACTTGATACCACTAGCTAGCAGACTAAAGGCTGCTCCAGAGTAGCAAGGCAACACTATCAGGAACGC